CGGTCAGTTGCGGCTTGGTATTCTCTCGGTAAGTTGGCAGTTCAGGCGTATTGCTTCGCATATACGTCGCATTTGCGCGCGTGTTGTGTACGCGTGTGTTTTATACCGCTAGTCGTTACCGTATTTCGACGACGACTCGACGTCTTCGACGATTCGGGTACGTCGACGCGACAGGTCGTTCGTTTTTGGAAGCCGGATCGCCAACCGCTTACCATCGCCGGCCGGCTCGCCTTGTCGCCGCCAAGGGCCGAAGAGCGCGCGCGAGACGAGACGAGAGAGGACAGAGGAGTGGAGGCTGCGTTACGTCGCGGTGCGGTGCGGTACGGCGGGGTGGTTGCGGAGCACGTATACGAGAGTCGAGAGCGCGCGCGCGCGCGCTTGGTATCCTGTGCCCGTGACTGTGTGTAGAGTGCGCGGGCACAGCGGCGCCTGCTAATACACGGTGATACGGCGGCGAAGCGAACGAGAGCCGAGAGCGTGCCGAGTGCACCACACGACGCGGGCAAACGCGAGTGATCGAGCGAGCGAGCGAACGCGGGTCCGCGCCGAGAGACGAGTGCGTTTGTCGAAGAGCCGCACGGCGTCTCGTGATACGATACGATACGATAGGATAGGATACGATACAACACGAAGCGACGTGACCGCGAGGCGTGAGACATCACCGACCGTCGCCACGCCACAACCGTTGAACGCGCGTCGCGCTGCCGACCGGCAACGGGACTGAACGGGAAACCTTTGTTCTCCGCGGAGCAGAGTGCGTGGCCCGATATACGCGAGATCAAATTTTCTTCATCTGTACCGAGCGGTGAGGTGAGTGGTGTGCGTGAGTTGGTACGGGCGGGCGGGCGTGCGTGCCCGCGTGTGCGCGCGTTCAACAGCCGTTGTCGCTTACTCGTTTGTGTGAACCACGCTCGTTTCCCAATTCCCCCGATATGCCGTTTATTCCGAAACGGCCGTTAGTCGTGAGGCGGATATTATTTATTTGGACGGTAAGCGCGCGCGACTGCGCCGCCTAAGCGTGTCCAATAATTCGCCGAGCTCGTGACGGATTTTTCGCTGCGCTCCTCGTCGCCGTGGCGCAGTTACTTACAGAGATTATCGGCACGGCGGTTTCGGCGCGGCCTCCCAACGGCGCGGGTAGACGACGACGCCGCCGCCGCCGCGGAATACACACGACTCGTGGACGCCATGATATCGCGCCTCTCTCTCTATCATGGCATCTCCCCGAGTCGACGCGGCCGACCGTCCCGTCGTCCGTACTCCGTACGGTTATTTTCTCGTCGCGAGGTGACGAGACTCGTCGCCATCGCGCAAAATTCAAGGATAAAAAAATATGATGATAGCGATTCTGCTCGTTCCTCCCTCCGGTATCGAACCGACGCGGCGTCCCCGTCGGGACTCGACGCGATCCGTTTGCAAATTTTGAAAATGGCGGGCACGAAACTTCCAGAGTAAGAAGAAGACAGACGCCGTTAGCCTGCGAATGCGACTTTCAGCCAATTGCGACGATATTCGACGACGTAGTTTCCGCGGAATAAAGAACGTCGCGAGATTTTGCTTGAGCCGCAATATAAGAGTAAATTATTGGAGCCCGCGAAGGAATTATTTTCGATCGCGCCAAGAGCCGCGCGCCATATCGCGCCGCGCCAAAGAGGCGTTTTGCGACGCAAATTGCACGTCGCGCACCGCGTATCTCTTCCCATAAACTTGCGAGGCGCGTAATTGATAGTACTGATTTTCGCAGCGCGTTTGCGCACTGCTCTCTCTCTCTCGCGCGCGCGCTCTCTCTCTCTCTCTCTTTCTCTGGTCGCGATCTCCAATGCTCCTTTAAGCGCGCGAGACAACGGGAGGAAAATATTGAAAGATCGATAGTCACACTCGTTCTTTTATTTTTACCCTTTTTTTCTCCTGAGATTCGAGAATCTCAATGTATCTGGGCTCTGTTCAACAACAGCGATAGGCACGAACTCGTTATCGGTTTTATCAGTCTATGTAAGGTTGATACATTCTTCTGAAAAGATACACATTTATGTTCTGCACTGTAGACACTATATATATATATAATTTATTTATTTTGCTAATATATGGCACTAAGAGATTTTGCGAGTTAAAGGATTAACCGTAAGTACAAAGGACATATTCACAAGGAATTCATTTGATGGATAACGTCAAATAATTATTAGTATAGCAAGTAATTATTTTCACACTAGCTGCACAGCATATACACATGTATACACAGATGACTCAGAACTCCTTATATTAGTTGGCGCTCTTCGTTCATCTTATCGGAGACGATACAATCTGAAAAAGAGACAAGGCGATTGAAAGAAATAATCGATATTGATTTTTACTTTTACAGTGAAACAGGACAATAAATATGTCAGACGACAATTCCCCTGTGGTAGAGGAGCAAAAAAAGAAGAGGGGCAGGCCGGCTAAGGCAGATAAGAACGCTGTTAAGGAACCCAAAAAGAGGGGTAGGCCTGCTGCGGAAAAGAATAATGCGGTACGTCCTGCAAAATCTGACAACGAGGATGATGCACCACCTGGACCTGTTAAAAAGGGAAGAGGTAGACCTAAGGGCTCCCACAAGAAGAAGGTAAGAAGAATTAAGACAGAAAAGTTTGTTAAGCTGCAAACTGCTAATATTATTGTCTGTATAATTAATTCTAATCATCTATTTTCACAAGAAAATTGTTGAACTTACAGCAAGGACCACCAAAAGGCACAACTACTTCGTCACGTGGTCGCGGTAGACCGAAAAAGACAGAAGAGAAACCCGAACTCACTGGTGAAGATGAAGACGAACAAGAAGAGGAGGAGGAGGAAGAAGAGAATTGAAGCATCCACTGATGCAATAGGGGAGGACGAAACTAACACAGCTGACTTATCCTTCGAAGACCTTTAAATAGAACGTCGTATTGAATTGAATCATTTTAAGGTTTACTTTTCTTTTATTTTAACCTGATTTAACTCTTGAGCGAGTGTCGAAGCAGTGAACACTGTCCTGATACTCGAGTTTTCTCACAAACTCCAGTTCACAGTGTACATTGCCACACACTGATGAATTCACGTTATTATTAAGAAACGTCGGATACAAAAGTTGTGTTACAAATTTATTAAGTTCTTTATATTTACTTGACATCACTACTATTAAATGATAAATGAAAATCATACTTTTAAATAAGACTACGTACATGTAACCTTCTTTAACAGTAAAAGACTGGATTACGATGCCGATCTCGAAACTTTTAATTTGCCCGAGAAGTGAGGTTTGATAAACTTTTTTTCTAATTAAAGAAAACTTTCGCAGTATAGAGTATTGTGTCACATGTTTGCTACCTCCTTTTCTCCTTCGTATGCGTATTACGCGATTCATGAAGCCAAAAAAAAAAAGAATTCCATACTGATCTAATATTGTAAGAGATAGAGAAAGGTAAACACGAAAAAGAAACTTCTTGTATGTAACATGCAGGGACTATTCTTTTCTAATTAACATTAATAAGTACACTTTCTTAATGTATATTACTGTCGTTTTTGAGGCAAGCATATGTGTGAATGTCAAATTTGTATTAAAGTAAATAAACTCAAAGTACTCTTATTAATTCTGCATTTATATTTTCCCCAATTTTTAAGATTTTGATTAAAAATTCTATACTTTATCGTGAAGAGAGGCTGTGACAATATTTCATACAAAACAATAGCGTAACTTTTGTTTCATTAAACGATAGAAGCATTATTTTTCAAAATTATCCAAGGAAAAAGAATAATATAGGGAAATAAAATAACCAGTTATTTTGAATGAGGAAAGAATAATTTTTAAGAAAAGTAGGAAGATATGAATACGATTAAAATAAATTGAATAAATAATAAAATTGCGAAAAATTTCATATTTGTATTTTGTTATGAAATTAATTACGTAAAAATCAATGTCTATATATGTATTATATGCATATTAATTGACTGATATTTGGCAACTTGTGTGCACGTATACTATTCAATTATAATAAAACAATTTAAAATTTATTTTCGTGTATAATTTAGATAACATTAGGCTATAAAAAGAAGTTAAAAATTGGAATTATCAAATATATTTCTAATAAATGTTATTTTTATAAAATTTTGGTCTTTAAGAATCTGTATAAGAAAAAATATAGTTTTTAGCTAAAGTTGTAAATTCCGGTATGCTTAATAACGTGTGTATAAAAATTACAATAAAGAAATGTCTTTAGCCTATGATAATTATAGCTTAATGAAAAAATAATATAAATGCTATGCAAAAATATACTACTAGTGACCACTGAATAGCTCTGCATTTTCTTCAGTATCCATGGATTGGTATCCTTGCTGTAAAATCAACAATGATTCTTATTTTTAAAGCACTTGCGCAAATTATGAGCAAAAACAATCTTACACACTCGTCTCTGATGTGTATTATAGCACTCGTCTAACAGTTCGGTCTCCCAGTCATCCTCCTCCTCTTCTCCAGGATCAAAGTTGTACATTGGCATGAGTCTGTGTCTTAAACGCTCCAACTTGCGTTTTCTCGATATAATTAGTACCTTTAAAAACAAAATTAGACATTAAAGTGCGAGAAATCTTAATTATACCTAGCAAGAAAAGCAGAAGATATAAAATTTTGCAGAAAAAAAAATACCAAGATTTGTATGATCGTATCACATTTATCTTTAATTCTTATAAAACAATAAAATCGTATGTGTTATAAATATTAAAACATAGAATGATAGATACATCACACATTGTATTGATATTTGCATAACGTTGCATGTAAAAATAAAAACAGGGCAAGGAGAAAACGTCACAAGGTAATGACAAAAGTGATATCGCTACCCATACCACAGCTGATAGTATAATAACAGAAACCACTACACTGAGTGGTACAAAAATATATTCTACTCCTTCTGGTGGACCAAATTCATCGAACGATTCGGTTGTCGGTGTGTATATCATAGTGTTTCTTGAAGTGTTAAATGATATCGCTGTAGGTTCAGACAGTGAAGTTATCGCGGTTTTGGATATATTCCACAATCGTTGATTATTCTCGTTGTCTTGTGGCAACTCTATGTACGCCGTCGTGGACACGTTGTCGTTGTAGATTGTACTTGGCATGCTTGTGGGAACTGTCGCAAGATCATTCACCAGTACAGTGTACATAATAGACTCGGTGGCATCTGTTGCGTTGTATTCTCTCGCATCATTTGTATCATTATTCTCGTGCATCGTATTAGAAAAAGCTCGGTTAATTGTTGTTAAGCCATCAGTTAGTTACGCTAATTTTATAAAGCTCCTCGCATGTATGATACATATTTATATCTTACATAAAGTATTAATAAAATTAGGAATTCCTTTTTTTGTAATAGACAGGCATAAATTAAGATGCGTCTGCTAGTTTCTTACACTATTACTTCTCAGGCTTGGTGTTCTGTCTTCTTGAACTGTATCCAGATAGGCCCATAGTCTGGATTTTATAGGAAACGTGGATATCACAAATTAAGCTACCTGTTATATTTCCTTCTCTTTCTTTCTTCGTGCTTTGTCAACAAATATGCGCGTTTCCCGCCACGCTATGACAGTTATGTGGTATCATGTGCTCGTTGTTGGATATCCTACCATCCTCGGATACCGTTTTACACACATGTCAATGAGAGGAACACCGACGTCATCACATCGGTCTTATCAATTATTCATCTAATAGATAACTCCGGCTTTATCATTAGACAACGTCATAAGATCTCACTTTGGTATTCCCGTGGATCCTTGGAAGTATTAGATAGACTCATCGACATCTAGAATGGACCGCTGATGGCAATGGTGGGGG